GTCACAGGGGGGTCGACTTTCACAGTGAGTAGCGACTCGCCACCGGTGTACCCCCCCGTCGATGGCTTGCTCAAAGTCACTGCTGGAAAAGCGCCACCAGAGAGCCAGGCCCACATCCTAATCACCAGCCTGGTCTTCTTTGCATGCAGAAGGGCTTCAAAAATAAGTGAATGAGTAACAATACTTCCCTCCTCTGTCCCTGCTATTCCCAAGGGAATACCGGGTCCCTAGCAGAGAGCATTGGGCTGGATTTTACAAAGGGATTTAGGCACAGAAAGCAGCTAGGCACTTCACGAGGATCCCCCTAGGTGTCTCCTGGTGTCCTTAGGGGCCTACCTGCCGGTAGAGATCGGGCCCCAAGTTTCGTCCGCTCGGCTCTGGAAAGGATCCGGCGTCCCCAGGCGGGGAGCCGATCTTGCAGATGTTTGCAGAGCTGCCTGGAGAAGGCCACGTCCTTGGGAATGAACTTGGCTGGAAGCGGATGAAAGGATCAGACTCTCCCCTCCCCACTCGGTTCGGGGCCGTGACCCGGGGGAGGGGAGGGATGGATGGCCCGGGGGAAAGCACACACCTGTCACTGCCGCAGAAGTGGGGGGAGCTTGTCATGTGTCGTTCCAGCTGGTGGGGGTGGGAGGAAGGGGAACTGCTCTCCCTCCTGCTGGGGGGGTGAAAATGAAACCCTGGCGTCCTAGGGCTGCAGGGAAGGTAGGTGGCGGCCGCTTGGGGAGTACCCGGAGCAGCCCTGCGCTGGGGCCAGGGGATCGCGTTGCTCATTTCCGCTCTGCCAGGGAAACTGAGGCACAGAGCGAGTGAAACGACTCGCCCAAGGTCGCGTGGCACAACCAGGAGCAGAACCCAGGCGTCCTGACTAGCAGGACGGACTGGGAGTCAGGAGGCCTGGGTTCCCTTCCCTGCTCTGGGAGGGGAGCGGGGTCTAATGGTTAGAGCAAGTGGAGGCCAGCGGCAGGACTCCTGGGTTCTACTGCCAGTGATATCTCGTGGTTACAGCACAACCAGTTTGGGGAGCTAGGACTCCTGGATGACCTCCGGGCCCTCCCACGCCTCAGTTTCCCTAGCTATAAAATAGGGGGAGGACAATAACACTTCCAACTCCTCCCAGCCCATTGGGGGGCAGCGGTGAGTGACCTCTACCTTTCCAGGGGGAGCAACCCCCCCCATTAGCTGCCCCCGCCCCAGGTGCCTGCGTGAGGCCTCGGCTGGGGGAGCTCCCTTGGCAGGACACACGGTGCTCTGCTGTGCCACCAGCTTTTCCTTTTCCCACCCTTATCACACCTGCCTCTGGCGTCCTTGGGCTCCGCCCCCGGCAGGGCCCCAGCCTCGGAAGGGGGTGGGGCTCTATAAACGAGAACCGCTGCGGCGGCTCCCCCATCGGCACCGGGACGATGGCCACCGCTCACCCCCTGCTCCTCCTTCCTCTGCTCCTGGCCTCGGCCTGGGCCCAGTGCCCGGCGCCGGCGGATCTGAAGAACGCGGACGGGAGCAAGATCTGTGCCCAGCTGTACACCGACGACAGCCCCTACTACGCCCAGTGCTGCGGGGGCAACGTGCTGCAGGTGCAGCCCGGCGACGACGTCCCCTACATACCGCTCGGCTGGAACGACAAGATCTCCTCCCTGGTGGTGGCGCCGCGCTGCGATCTCAGCGTCTGGTCCAGGAACGGCAAGGAAGGCTACAGCCGCAAGTTCAACAGCGGGGTGGTATATCGGCTGCGGGAGATCAAGAAGGGGCTCTTCGGGGACTGGGACAACTCCATCTCCGCCTACTACTGCAAGTGCAACTGAGGCGAGGCCAGGGGAGAAGCAGTGAGACCAGGCCTCCAGCCGGGCCAAGCCTTTATCCCACCGCTGGCACCAAACCTTCCGCCGGGCCAAGCCTTTATCCCACCGCT